CCTGGGTCTCCCTGCTAGGAAGCCACACAGATCCTCTGGGGAGGGTTGCCTGGAAACCTGCAGCTTGGCTAGACTGTCACCCTGGCCTCACTTAGGCTCTGTGCTGCCACCTCTCTGCCGGAGTACCCCAGAGAGCTCCGTCACCAGCCTGCACGTGGTGCTGGAGGTCAGAGGACCCACGCAACAACCCGCTGCCCTCTCTGGACGCTGGGCGCTCAGGGGTCCACCCCGCCGCCTCGTCTGGCTGGAACTGTTCCTCTCCCGGCGCCTGGGAGATGCTCTACTCCTGGCAACTAACAATGGCTGCGCGGGCACCACTTTTGCCTATAGGCACAGAATGGCTCACGCCTGCCCCCCGCGGCTGGGGACCTGCTGGTCATTCAGTGAGTGGCCCTCCCCTGGCCCCGCCCTAATGAGGCACTACTGTGCCCCTATAGTGGTCTGGTCGGCAAGCCGGAAGGGGGCAGAGCGTCCCGGGAGGCGGGGTGTCCTGGGGGTAGGGTGTCCGGGGGCTTAGGGTCTTTAGGGCAGAAGGTCCTGGGGGCAAGGAATCCTGGGAAGGGGGCAGAGCTCTGGAAGCCGGGTTCCTGGGCTACGTGGTGTTCTGAGGGCGGGGGTTTTGGGGGAGGATGGTCCTGGGGTGTAGGGCTAGAACAGATGGGGTCTCCCCGCGGGGGTGGTGGAGGACGCCGCCAAGTGTACCTGTAGGCACACCTGCCATCGTGGAACTCGAAGGTCGGGTTGGTGTAGCCCCCGCCAGGCCCTCGGTTGGTGTGGACGCCCCCTGGGCTGCACGCCAGGTCAGGGAGAGGCATAGAACTGGGGGTTCGGTCTGCGCGCGCAGCGCCTGCCCGTTTGCGGGCAGGGTCGGCGGCAGCTCCGGACCCGAAGCCAAGAGAGAAGCGAATTGGGAGCGACAGGTGACTTCTTTCCTCATTTTTTCCCCCAGAGACCCTTCACATTTTTCTCCCTCAGTTGGGAAAAGAAAAGCCAAGTTCAGGGTCCTGCTCTGGCGCCTGTGCGGGCGCGCCCTCTTCCGGCCACGCGGAAGCGCCGGACCCACCCCGGGGACGCGCCACGTGATCTGGTTGCAGACTTCGCTGGCGAGGCCGACGCCCCTCGCACCCCCTGGGCCAGCTCCATCGTGGCGCTCAGGGCTGCTCTTAATCCGGAAATCCAGGAGGGAGCTCTTTCAGACAACCCAGAGATTCCCTAGTGGCTAAAGCACTTGACTGCTAACCAGAAGGCTGGCGGTTCAAACCCACCAGCCACTCCTCGGAAGGAAGGTTGGGCAATCCTACTTCCGTAGTGATACTGCCTCGGATACCCAAGGAGGGGTCGCTATGAGTCGGGGCCGACTCGAAGGCACATAACAACAACAACAACAACAACAACGCGCCCCTGGGAGGTTCAATTGCCCTGTGGGGTGCCGGCCGCCAAGGAGCTGCTCTGACCTCCAACCTCGCCCTATCACCATCTGCCCCAACCCCAAACATCCGGGACTCAGCTGGAAATCTGTATGGAGACTCCTGGGCAGCCACCATATCGGGTGGAGGCAGTTTCCTGTGTCTCAAGTACTGGGGAGCAGGAAGGGCTGTCTGCGAACAGACAGAGAAGAGACTGCCTTTGCCTGCCCCGCCTCTTCTTGGGATCTGTGGCTGCTAGGCGTCCATACCCACCTGGAGCAACAGGTAGAGAGGAAGCTGCCTGGGTGTCCTGGGGAGGGAGGCTGCCTGCAGGCAGCACGGTGGCGGTCACATCAAACCAGCTGCTTTTCTTTTTTTAAAAATTGTGCTCTGGGTGCAATTTACAAAGCAGATTTGTTTCCCATTAAACAGTTCATGCACATTTGATTTCACGCTCAGATTACCACCCCCAACCATAAAAAAACTCTCCACCCCAACTCCCTGTGACTACCCCTGCCCTGTGCCCTTCTTGTCTATGCATTCCTGTCTGGCCAGCTTTCCCTCTAGGTCAGTGCTACCCCTCTCATGTCTCATGGCTGGGTGATCTAAGGGGTGCATCTCCCTGGGGTAGGTGTTCTGCATGTAGGTTATTCTGCTGATGGGCTGAGAGCCAATGTATGGAAATGAGTCCATTTCTAGGCTCAAAGGATAAGCCAGGACCATAGTCTTGGGGGTTCCACCAGTCTCTATCCAACAAGAATTACTGAATTCTGGTCATTTTTGTGTTTTCTAATTTTATTCCACATTTTTCCTTGCACTCTATCCAGGATCTCCAATGTGTGGTTGGCATTAGTTGTCAGGCACCATCTAGTTCTTCTGGTCTTGAGGTCATGAAGGCTAAGGTCTCCTGGCCCATCATGCCTTTGGACTAATTGTTTCCAGATGACTTTAATTTTCTTCATTCTTCTTTGCTCTAGACAAGAGGAGACCAATAGTTGCATCTTAGATGGCCGCTTAAAAACTTTTAAGACCCCAGTCACTACTCACCAAAGTAGGATGTAGAACAAGATTTTTATGTACTGTGTTGTGCCATTTGAACTTGGGGGACATCATGTCCCCCAAGACTATAGTCCCGAGCCTGCAGGCCCAGTGATTCTCTCTCTCAAGGTGTTTGGTTGTCTCTGAGAAGCTACTCCAACCCTGTCTTCTGTAGCTTCTGTAATGTATGTGGATAATTTTGTAGCACAAGTACATATGTAAGATTATCTTTAGTCAGATCTGTCCTTGGTCTTGGGTATATTCCTGTTCGCCTACCCCTACCTGATCTTCTCACCTGTCTATGCATTTACCTATAGCCTGGTGTTTGGTGACAGTGGTAATGCACTATTGTGCATGTAAGAGTATTTGCCTTTGTTTATAATTTTCACGCATGTTTCTGTGTCATTCCTTTCCCCAGTGTCACCATGCTGGTCACAGACTCTTTCCATACTGCCCCTCCCCTCACCCATTTCAACATGTGATCCCTAATTAGTCTGAATTTTTTCCTCCTCTTCCCTCCCATCTCCAGTAACCAGCAAAGTGAATTTCCTTCCCTGAATAAACCTTTCCTTGACTTTTTACAATGATGGACGACTCATAGAATATTTGTTCTTTTGCGATTAACTTATTCACTCAGCATAATGTCCTCCAAATTCATCCATGTTGTGAGATGATTTGTGTATTCTTCCTTATTCTTTAATATTGTATAGTATTCCATTGTGTGAATGTACCATAGTTTTGTTATCCATTCATCTGTTGATGGGCATTTAGGTTGTTTCCGTCTCTTTGTGATAGTGAATTGTGCTGCGATGAACATGGGTTTGCATATGTCTTTTTGTGCCCTATCTCTCACCTCTTTAGGGTATATTCCTAGTAATGAAGTTGCTGGATCAAATGGTATTTCTATTTGCAGTGTTTTAAGGAAACACCATACCATTTTCCACAATGGCTGTATCATTTTGCACTCTCAGCAGCAGTGTATGAGAGTTCCAGTCTCTCCATAACTTCACCACCAGCTGCTTTTCTTAAGGCCTGGGCCCCAATCCAGTCTGTTGCTGGGGTCTTGGTCATTGTAAGGGCTCCCTGGGGCCCAAGTGGAGACAGGTGGGTGTACATCACGGCCTGCCCCTCTCCTGTGGTCTTTTCCTGTCTGCTTCCCAGAGGCATTGTGCTAAGGGCAGGTGCTTTTGCGGAGCTCTGAGCAGGGCCTGGCACACCCTGAAACCTCCAAGTGGGGGCTTAGCCTGTCTCACAGGCAGCCTGGTAGGTTCCATGGCCAAGTCTCACCCACCCCTCTGTCCTTCGTTGCCAGAGCCTGAGCTAGCCAGAGGAAAGTGTATCTCTCTTCCAGGCCCCTCCTGGGGCAAAACACCAGCATCTTCACCATTGGGCAGGAGCCCAGGGGGAGGAGCTCTGCTGGCAGATCCATTAGAGATAATTACATGGGCGGTCATGGAAGAGACAGATGAGCTCTAAGGCATTTGACTGCTAAGCAGAAGGCTGGCAGTTCAAACCCACCAGCCACTCCTCAGTGGGAAGGTTGGGCAATCTAATTCCGTAGTGATACCGCAGAAACCCAAGGAGGGGTTGCTATGACTTGACTCAACGGCAGTGAGTTTTGGTTTTGGTTTTAGCGAATGCAAACCTGACCTGGCACTGGAGACAAGGGCTGAAGCTGGGCTTCCAGCCACTTCCTGGACTCCATTCCGTGGCCCTGGCTGGCTCTCCATTGGGTACTGGAGCCTTCCAGGACCCAGAGCCAGCCCATCCTTACATTGCCGTAGATGCGAGGGACCTTCCTACATGGACAGAACCAAATGTCCTGATTGCCTGGCCTTAATGCTCTGCTTCACACCCCCTTCAGAAAATAGCAGCCAGACTGTGGCAAATCGTGATTGCGCAGGGCTTGGGCTGGTGGCCAACTGGGAGGCAGCTTGGTGGGCAGGTGACAGACAGAGATTGGCATTCCGGCACCCCTGAAGCCTCCAACCCGTTATCCTCATCTGTTCCCACACCGCCTATCACCCTTAACCCCAGACCGGATCCGGATGTTCAGGTCCTATTTATGTCATCACTGTCTGCCTGTCTTTCTCAATGTCCGACCTGCAGCCCTGGCCTGAGCTGACACCACCCCCCCTTCTACCTTAAGGCTGCTCAGTGGAGCAGTGACAGATGGCACTATGTCAGGAGGCACCCTCAAATCACAGTTGGACTCTGGCACTGCCTGTCTGGCAGTCTTTGGACCCATATCTGGCCGGCTCCTGGTCTCACTGTCCAAAATCACGATGGAGTAGGATGACCCTAATCCAAATGACAAATGACTTAATGAGAAGGAAGTTGGAGAAGACACAGTGAGAAGGAAGGCGATGTGAAGACAGACATGGAGAGGTGGTGCATGCTGCCATAGGACACCTAGAGCTGTAAGCGGTGTAAGAAGGGCCCTGCTGACACCTGGATGTGGTACTTCAGGCCTCCAGGACTGTGAGAGGGTAGATTTCAGTTGTTGTAAGCCCCCAACATGTGGTGCCTTGTGATGGCAGCTGTGCAGCCCACAGACGCTTACCTGTGGCCTGGAGCCCTCTTTGTCTCAGTAGGGGACCTAGGCGCCTAAGTCCTCAGAGCGGGAACCCCCTCTC